TGTGTATATATATATATATTATATAGATGTGTATATATATATATATACAGATGTAATATAAGCAGTAGCCATTGCCTTCCACGTGCTTCTTCACAAAGTCGAAGCTGACCTGACATGGGCCGAATGCTCAAGTACCATAATAGCGGATCCCCAAGAAAGCATATGATCCGGCTGTAACGACAAGCACTTCATACCGCCCCCGTAATCTCTAAAAACCTTAAACCCTAAACCCTAGACCCTAAACTACCCCAAACCAGAATCCTAAACTGCCCCCTAAACTCTATCCTCTAACCCCCTAAACCAGAACCTCCAAGACCCTATTCTCAGCGTGATGCCCACGACCACTCGCAGCTTAAAGTAGGAACCCGGTATGGCTTCAGAGGCTAAGGTTCAGGGTTTAAGGTTTAGAGGTTTGGAGTTTCGGGTTTAGGCGACGGCTCCCTAAACCCTAAACCCTAGCCTTTACTTACTTAAGGCCAGCGAGGCAAAGTCGTGAAAAGAAGCCAGAACCATCATTGAAGTTCAAAGCTTTTGGATCCCTGCACCCTAAACCCTAGGGTTTAGGGTTTAGGGTCTAGGATTAAGGGCTTAGGTTTTAGGGTCTAGTGTTTAGGGTTTAGGGTTTAGGGAACCCTAAACCCTAAACTCTAAACCCCAAACCCCTAAAACCCTGAAATTCCAGTTTAGGTTTATGCGCTTCGAACCTAGTCATCACGGGTTAGGGAGGGATCGTAATAGCGTTCATGATAGTAAACCACCGTATGAACAGCCATAATCTCAGAATGTTAACAAAAGCTAATCATGCTAGAAACACAACAGAATACGAATAAGAACATATAAGAATAACAATAAGAACAAGGATAATGTTAAGATACTAAGAATGATAAAAATGAATGGTGGTGGTGGCGGTGGTGGTGGTGGTGGCGGCGGTGGCGGCGGCGGCGGTGGTGGTGGTGGGGTGGTGGTGGTGGTGGTGGTAGTGATGGTGGTGGTAGTGATGGTGGTGGTAGTGATGGTGGTGGTGGTGGTGGTGGTGATAATGCAAATATTAAGGCATTCTTCTGACAGCGGTAGGAGTCGGCTTAACGGTTACGCAGGACGCTTTCTGAAATGCGTCTGTGGGTCTGAGCATTACATTAGCAGTTAGCATGTCTCGCGCTTTCAAGACAAAATGCGACGAAGCCTTCTTTGAAGAAGAGAGCTCGGGCTATGGGTCATGTTTGGGCATTGTTGAAGCACGCTTGCTGAAACACTGCTCCTGCATGCTCATCAGAGCTTGTGGCAGAGGGCAATGTCGGAAATTTTATTGCAGAATAAGAAGTCCATCCAAAAGGAAGTGCAGAACGTTCTGAGCCCTTTACACTCAGCCCCTCAACTTGAACACTAAAGCAAGTTCTGCCCTGAAGCACCAAGAAGCAAATCCACGAAACTCTAACCAAGCTCTAATTGTACTGCCCACCTAGCAGCCCAGCCCCAAGCCCACCAAAAGGTGACAACCCAAAAATACAGTCCCGAGAGACCTTCGGTCGGCACTGCGACTTGAGGACCGTCTCCGCCGCGTTGGAGGTGAAGTTCTCCGTGTACTCGTTGAACTTCGAGCCTTCGAGGCTCCAACAAAGGCGTCCTTTTTAAGGGTTCCTAAAAAAGGGTCCCATGCAAAAGGCTTCTGTAAGAGTACCTAAATGGATTTCTCAAGGGCATTAGGTTTAAAAGTTAGGGGCTTTAGGGGCCGTTCGAGGGCTTTGAGAGCTGTGTTGAAAGAAGGCCTCTCAAAGTGTGTTTGTAGGCTTCCCATAGCCCGAAGAAGGGTTCACCTTGTAGGGTTGCGGATCTTCGAGGTTGAAAGGTCAGAGTGTAGGGTTTGTAGTAAGCCCCAAAAAGTTGGAAACCAGATTAAGGACAAATCGTGCTGAGATTTCCATTTATACATTTCTCTTGAGGATGGAGACGGTTGGGTTTCCGATATTCGGGCTTCTACAAATTAAAAGGGGGCTCAGGAGCCCCTGCCCCGAACCTAAAGACGCTCCAGCGAGCTTGGAGCCTGTGGACTTCGACTTCAGCAGCGAGTAGAGATACCTTCGGAGGCGATTTCAAGAGCTTCGGCGGTTTAGGACAAGGTTTAGGGTTCAGGGTTTAGGGGCCTAAGGCTTCAAAGCCGAACTCTGGCTAAACACGAAACCCATAAACCCTAAATACCTACCTAAACCCCTCAAGCCCTGAAGCTGTGTTGGGCTTTGTGGGCTGTACTCTAGTCTCATCTAGTCTCATAGGGCCCATCAACCTCTCTACAATTATACAGCCTATATACTGTATGGTTTTGGGTGTTGAGGATATTGGGGCTTTGGAGTTTAGGGGTTTAGAGGCCGGCCCCGGCATCGGCCCTAAGCTCTAAACCCTACAACCCCTAAGCCCCAAGCCCTCAGTTAAGAAATATACCTTAAACTATAGGGACCATAATCAGCATTATGATTATGATTTTGACTATGACTATGACTATGATTATTTATATGAATAGCCCTAAAACTCCTGAAGTTTGGCCGGCTCTCAGCCCATGGACTCCTTAGGCTTGAGCAAGGCATCGAGAAAGTTTGGGATGTCTTTGCTTCCTAGGAAACACCAAGGGTTTAGGGCTTTAGGGGTTTCGGGTTTAGGGTTTAGGGTTTAAGGTTTAGGGTCTAGGGGTTTAGGGTTTAGGGTTTAGGGGAATCGGGTTTCGGGTTTAGGGCTTAGCTAGAAGTACGGAAGCATATTCCCATGACTGCGGCTTTTTTTGCTGCAGTACTAGCAGTTCCGACAAAAGAGAAAGCTGCACGATAGCAATGCGGGGAAAGCCGCATAGCCCGTGCTCTTGTGCTAAAACTACCCTAAACCCCGCCCAAACACAGAAACACAAACAAACAAACAAACACACACACACACACACGCACGCACGCACACGCTAAGAACCCCGAACATCTTCTATCCGCTTAAATCCCCAATTTCAACCGGGGCGCCTCGAAATCGTGAAACTTCAAGGCCTTTAGGGAGCAATCGGCCGCTTTCTAGCACCAGCGAGTTGGCCTTCTGCCAACCCCCCCAAATCAAAAACCCCTAATTCACTTGCCTTTGGTTAGTAGGGAATGGAAGAATGGGAACTATTATAAGTACCATTACTACCATTCTTCCATTCCCTACTAACCAAAGGTAGGTTCAGGGGCCTTTGGAAGTTGAATAAGGCTTTGGGCATGCGGCAGACTCTCGTCAGAAGAAGGAATCCTAATGTCCCGGCCCCTGCATTCCACCCGCTTGTCCAAAACCATGAACCCTGCCTGTCCTTAACCCCCTAAACCCTAAACCCTAAACCCAAAACCCAAAACCCTAAAACCCTAAACCCTAAACCCTAAAACCCTAAACTCTAAAACCCTTAACCCTTAACACTAAACTCTAAACCCTAAACCCTAAACCCTAAAACACCAAAACCCTTAACTCGAAACTCGGGCGTGGCACATAGCCAAATGCTCGTTCACATCAAAGCGCAGCTGGTAGCCTCGACTGTAACTGCTTAGAAGTTTTGGGGGGGGTTTAGGGCTTTGGGTTTAGGGCTTAAGGGCTTAAGGGCTTTAAGGGTTTTTAGGGTTTTTAGCGGGTTTAGGGTTTAGGGTTAAGGGTTAAGTGTTCAGGGTTTAGGGCTTAGCTGGGAATCCAAAAACCTACCGTTTTAGGGGCTCGACCCTCTAATTGAGGGGTCATAACCTACTATTTTGTAGGGTTTGGGGTCACAGGTCGGGTTTAGGGCTTAAGGGTTTAAGGGTTTAAGGGTTGGGTGGTTAACGATTTCAGGGTGTTGGGTTGAAGGTTCGTCTTCGCTTCTAGACAGCACGGCTCTTCGATTCTGTTGGTCTTCTTCGTGCTTGTGGCGTCCTGGTTGTACGGTTTGCGGGTGTAGGATCAGAATGCAAGGTTCGCAGAGACCCTAAACCCAAAACCCTAAACCCTAAACCCTAAACCCTAAACCCTAAACCCCTAAACCCCTAAACCACTGAGCTCCCCGAACAATGCCTTGCTATCGATGTTTTGGGATCCTTGAACCCTGCACCCCCTCGATATTGCTGCATGTTTTGCAGTGAAAGCCCCTCAGTAATCCTGGGGGCCTTCATAATTAGAATAGGGTTTGCGGGGGGGGGGTGTATTATACTATATAGTTATAATAAGGAACGCCCATAATAGTATGGGTAATGATGTAGGCCCCTAGATTCATCAATTCGTGACATCGGGGCCTACAAGAATTCACGAGGGCCCTTCGACCGGGCCGGGGCCCTCGAAACGGAACTCCCTGTCCCGGGACCTTTAAGACCAGAGAATACCCTAAACCCCAAACCCTAAACCCCGAAACTAAACCCTAAACCCCTAACCCCTAAACCCCTAAACCCCTAACCCCCTAAACCCTAAACCTGCCTCATTCAGTTCGGACCCCGTTGGCTTCATTTTCCACAGCACACCCGCTGCGCAGGCCGTTTACCAGCAAAAAGCGCGGTCGGAGGATAAAAACAACCCTAGACATGCAAAGGTCCAAGCTGGGGCTTAGGGCCGATAGGGTTTAGGATGGAGCGCTGGCACATACAGTTCAGGGTGCCTGCCTCGGAGCTTTCAGCATCGGCGCGCCCCTTCCTTGACACAGCCTTGAAACCTCAAACGCGTAAGTCCTGAATCCTAAATCCTGAGCGTCCAACCCTGTAAACCCGAAACCATTAATCAGAAATCCTCCCTTAACCCTAAATCCTTATCGTTAAAACATTCACCGGAACCCCTTGAATTCAGCAGAAACCGTAAAGCCCTGAAGCCTGAAGCCCTAACCCCTAAACCCCAAGTCAGGCAACTCCGGCTGTTGTCTGCGCTGTCCTCTGGCTTGTCCATGGAGACGCCCACATCCTCGAAGCTGAGAGGGGTCTAGTGGATAAAACGGTCTTTATACTGGCTATATGCGTTACTATACAGGGATAGGGGGCCAGGGGGCCTGAATAATTAGACTATGGTTTCGCGGGGTGTCCTAGTCGAATCAGAATAAGTAGCAGCGGCAGTGGAATAATTGAACCTGAGAGTGCTTCAGTGGCACATGTCCTCTTCTGTCACTTCCAGGTTCTGCCGGGACGCCTGCGCTGTCAGAGCATTCGCCCTGGACCCTCCCAACGTCCGGATCTTCGCCACGGCATGAACGAGCCCCGAGACGAGCACCTTGCGCCGCATGCGTAGTTCTCTAAATTAGGGCCCCTTTTGTAAGGGTGCCGTACTGTGCTGAGGATCTTATAAAGGGACCCTAGTTTCGAGAACTGCCTACATGCTTCGGGGCTCTAGCATTTCTGGGTTTAGGGTCGAGGTCTTGGGGCTACGGAATTCGAGGGGTTAGGATTCAGGGCAGCTTGAAACGCATTGTCGCTCTTGAGTCGCTTCCAACTCACCTGGACCCTTAAGAACCTCCCTCTTTGGGGATTCCTTATTATGACTTCCCTTTAGAAGCCCTTAAGAAAGGTAATTAGATTCTTTGGGATGTTAGATTGTTTTTGGGGGTTACCGTTGAGGGATGCAGCAGTGCAGACCCGAGAAGACAAAAGTCTAGCTTCGGTGTCATCATTTGGGGGTTAACAGTTCCAGAAACCTAAACCCTAAGCCCTAAACCTGAAACCGTGGCTCCAGTCATTGCTGCCACGTCCCCCACTCCTAAACCGCTTACCCACACTTCGGCCCGAACCAGGCCATTCTTCCAAGGTTTTGCGGCTGAAGGACGCGGGAGTGCGGGGCGCGAAGTGCAAGTGCGGGGTTCCAGGTTCGGGTTTTAGGGTTTAGGGTTTTAGGGTTTAGGGTTTTAGGGTTTAGGGTTTTTAGGGTTTAGGGTTTAGGAATTAGGGTTTGCATGGACACGGCACAACCTGAAGCCCCGCACTCTGAAAAGGAACCCAAAACCCTAAACCCTGAACCCCTAAACCCCTTAACCCTAAACCCTAAACCCCTACAGCCCCTACACCGTAAACCCCTAACCTACACCCGGAATCCCTACACCCCGAAGCCACAAATCGCAAGGCGACAGGCCCCCCCCATCCAAGTCCCCCTCCTGGGCCCATTTCTCCGCCTGCACGCGGCTCAGCAAAGGACTGCTATGCTCCAAGGGTTTAGGTTTAGGGTTTAGGGCTTAGGGTTTAGGGTGTAGGGGTTTAGGGTTTCTCTTCTAGCACATGTGTACATACCCCAAGAGTTTGTAACCACGACGCTTAGGCCTAAACTAAACTCTGTCTAAGCACTAAACACCCTGAATCTAGATACCAAAAGACCTACGTCATCTAATCACCAGAAACGATCCCTCCCTTCGAATCAAAAACAATAAGCACACCCTTGCAAACCCTAAAAAATACCCCATGCATAAAGCTGGTCATGAACCCCTGGCAAACCGGCAACCCTCCGAAAACCCTCGACCCCAACCCGAAACCCCCATAGCCCCAAATAGGGTTTTACGGTCCGGGGTGTAGGCTTTGGCGTCTAGGGTGCAGCTTCTACACATCTACAAAAGCGCTATGAATCGCTCTATCACAGACAACCAAAAAAGCTTATAGTTGTAACCGGCATATACCTTATACCCCTCACCTAAACCCTATACAGCCTAAAATCGATGCCTCGTAGTCAAAGTTCCATGGACAGGTCAATGTCATCCCGAGCACAAGGCTCAAGCTGCAGATCTTGGGTCCTGACCTCTGGGGTTTAGGGCTTAGGGGGTTTAGGGGTTTAGGGATCATCCCCTTTAAACCCTCAACCCTAAACCCTGATAGGCTTTGAATTTGGGTCTGGGGGCTAGGGTCTTTTTGGGCATTTCGTGCCGGCACTAGCCTTCTCTTCAACTCCGCTGTCCGAACCTCCTCCTCTGTTTCTGAGGGCTTCTGAGGGTTTGGCCTTAAGGGCGTAGGGGTTTTTCTTGCAAGTTTTGGGGGGCCTCTGGCTTTTTTTGACGTTAGGGTCTTCTGCTCTTTGAGGTCGCTTGGTTTTTGGGGGGTTTCAGGCTCTCAGAAACTGTGTTCATTGAAGTCTTCGGGTTCCCCTCGCACTTAGGGTTTATATAGGGTGAAGCCTTCATAAGGGCCCAAACCCAAGCCGGGCCCCAAAGTCAAACACTCACCAGAAACTCGAAACCCAACTCCTGAACCAGGAGATCTGAAATCTGAACCGAAGAACATGCCTCCTAAACCTCAAACCCTAAACCCCAAACCCGCCACAGAAGCCCCGAACTCTAACCCAGCAGCCCTGACTCACGACCTAGCTCGGGTTTAGACTTTGTAAGGATGCTTGGAGGTTCATGGGTAGCTGTGCGTGGGGTTATAGGGTTCCCTTTATGGGTTCTGTAGGGTTTAGGGTAGTTATAAGTGTCTTGTTTTGAGTAGCGTAGCTGTTACATGTATAACCGATATTAGGGGACATACTATGACTGCCCATGAACCTCCGTGTATGGTTTCCTGGGTCGAAGTGAATTCACTGCGGCACTTCTAGGATTAGGGGTTTAGGGCTTACAGGGTTTAGGGGTTTAGGGGTTTAGGGGTTTAGGGTTTAGGGTTTAGGGTTTAGGGCAGGAGGTAAGGCCTTGCGCTTAGATGGTTTGGGACTCAGCTTTTCAAGTTGGAGCAGTCAGACCTAAAAGAACAGGTTAACACAAGGAATCTATGTTCTGGAAATAACGGCCGCCATGCTGCGGATTCCAGAAGCCCTGCTAGCTCTAAGGGTTTAGGGTTTAGGGTTTAGGGATGTTTACGTGATCTTTTGGGCCCCTGGGTTTGCCGTCAGAGCACATGGCGTACACCGGCGCATGGATCGGCGTTGCATTCGCGCATTGAAGGTCCTGGGCGGCACGTTGGCACCCACGCGAAGCTGGGGTTTCGGTTACTATGTGTTCATTTCCGCTCAAGGCTGCAATAGGATCATGTAGGGCTTTGGATGGAGTTTTACGGTTTAGGGCAGGCCCGGGGCTGGTTCTTATTTTTGACAGGGTCCGATTGGTTTAGGGCCACATAATTCCGCCCTAACCCTAAACCAGTGGCCTGGCGCTAAGGCTCAAACACGTGGGCGCAAAGAACGAGAGAGAGAGAGAGGGAGAGAGAGATTGTGAAGCGGTATACATTGCATATGCAAAGTAGAGAGAGATCGTGAACATGCCTGCATTGCATATGCAAAGTGACACTGACGAACTTGCACATCATGGCCTGAGCCCAGCTTGCTGGCCGGCAAACTCCGGGACGCTCTAGCTCTCTAGGTTTTCAGAAGTTTAGGGTATCGGCTTTAGGGTTAGTGGTTCTCCCAGGTTAGTCGGAAGGGTTCTTTGTGAGTTTTGCAATTCGAACTGAGATGCAAAACCACCGTCTAGGATGCCGGGTTGTAGATTCATAGACAACTGGCAGCACCAGACCTTGGCTCTTTCAGGTGCATCCAGGCAACACAGCTCTTTGTCAGCGTGTTGTAGGCAAAGCTGCTGCACCAGTCGTGGTCTTGACACCTGTGACCAAATGTTGGGACTGTCGCAGCAATTCGACAGGGAATGTCACATGCATTCATCCAGCTTGGCATATTTCGAACGTCCCAATGCACCACATGCCCTGCCTGACCTGTGAACCTTTCTATGAACCCCGCGGAGCTCAAAGCTGTGAGAACATACCTGCACCCCTCTGCAAGTGCAGCCGTCCAGCTAAGGTGTGATTTCACAGTACAGCAGCATAGCAACATCGAAGCCCTGTCGCAAGCACGCAAGTGCGCACAACATGTCGCTTTAGGCTTTGTGGTAGAACGGTTAAACCGCAGAATATAAGACACGTACCCTGAATCCCAACGGCCCAAAGGACGAGCTATAGCCCTAAACTAAAGCCCTTAAAGGAACCCCTGAACCAGAGCCTCCCTTAAATGGAACTACCCTGAACTCTAAAACCTATAAACCCCAAACGAGCCCTACAGGAAGCGTGACCCTAGGCCGAGCCCTCTGGTTTCGGGACTTCGTGCACTTCGGCACTCACGAATATGGGTAGTTCTCTAAATTAGGGTCCCTTTTAGGGGGGTCCTTTTTATAAGGGTGCCGTACTATATTGGGGACCTAAACAGGGACCTTAATTTAGAGAACTACCCATATCGAGAAAAGCATGCAGATGGTCACTGTGGGACAACCCGCGTGCACAAGGATACACCAAGCTTTCCCAAAATGCCAACTGCCCCTAAACCCTAAACACTAAACATCCCTAAACATCCCTAAGCCAAAGCCCTAAACCCCAAACATCCCTAAACCCTAAACACCTAAACCCTAAACCCCAAGGCAACCGGAATGAAGCCTATATTCTCACAACCTCAAGCTTGGGATTCTCTGGGAGTCCTCAGTTCCCGCACCTGTGGTGCTTGCGATGAAATGAGGGGTTTAGGGCTGGGGGGCTTCGGGCTTGGGGTTGAGGGTTTAGAGTTGAGGGTGTAGGAATGTGTAGGGTTTACTGGGGTTTAGGGCTGTTCAACAGTAGGGTCATTTGTAAAAGGTGCTCAGCTTCCGTGTTCAAGTAACATCTGCTGCAAACGACTGCTGCAAAGTAACTCTACAACCCATTCATGCCAGCGACATATGGCCAAAGATGACCCTTGCAGGAAAGCTCCCTCGCACAAAGACGGATAGAGCTGGAACACCCCAAGCGCAAGACCTACTTCACAACATCGCATGCCTGTGCTGGCAGTCGACAAGATCGTCAAGGAAGGTGGTGGGTGCAGCAACTTGGCGGGCAGAAGATTGCAGAAAGTGTCTTCGGGATTCGCTAGCAAAGAAGCCCCAATATCCGAAAACCTCAACCAGTGCACCAGATAGCGGAGGGGTCCATAAAGCTCTTGTACGATCCGGCTACACTATAAGATATCCCAAAGCCTGATTGTTGCTCTTATTATTATCATAAAGACTAGTACTAATACAATTACTCTTCCTCTTGCAGTTGCTATTCCCACACTTAGCACTATGATGGCTAGTACTTGAAATAATACTAGGCTTTTACTTTTGCTGTTACTATCCCTACTACTATTACAACTGCTTGTACTACTACTTGTAGTATTACTGCTACAAATACTATTCCTAATACTACTACTAGTGCTTATACCATTGCCAGTACTATAACCATTACGACCATTACGATTAGGATTCCTATCCCTATTCCCATTTCTATTACTCTTATTGTTACTATTGCTATGACTATTCTTCTTACATAGTCTCCCTTCATACTACGATTTTCGATATGGCTAGTACTACTGATGATATGCTTCATGTAGTTACTACTACTACGACGACGACGACGACGATCACTACTGCTGCTACTACTACTACTACTACTACCACCACCACCACGACTACTGCTACTACTACTACTACTACCACCACCACGACGACGACTACTACGACTACTCCTACTCCTACTCCTACTGCTACTGCCACTGCTACAGCTACAGCTACTACTACGACTGCTGCTGCTACTGCTGCTGCTGCTGCTGCTACTACTAACTACTACTACTACTACTACTACTACTACTACTACTACTACTACTACTGGTACTACTACTATTTTCCTTGTTACGTATGAACATCAGGAATTATTCTTCATGTAGTTTCTACTACTACTATTTTCATTGTTATGCATGATTATCACCATCATCATTATCATTACCACAGTTTCTATTTAAGGCCTCTAGCCCAAAAAATCTGTCGATCGGGAGATGTTTCAGGCCGCAGGCTCGTGCACATCGGCTGCAAGAAGGAGACATCCGACATGCACTTCCTGAACTGGGGCTTTCATGCAGGGCTTGGGGTCTTTAGGGTCTCAGGGTTTAGGGCTCAGTGACAGACCGTACGTAGTTTCAATCCAACCTCGGACCTACAAGCCACACTCTCGCATCCTGAAACCTTGAAAGTCGTTCTCAGGCCGATCTTCGGAAAGCTGCAGTGCCAAAACCCTGAACCCTAAACCCAGCCGAAGCTTGCAGCATCGGCTTTGGGACGATTGCGTCGATAGGGCAGAACTGGAGGTTCGGGTTTGTACAGCGCTTATCTGAGGGCTCAGGGTTTAGGGTTAATCATGGGGACGTCTATAGCCGTAGGGTTTAGGGTTTAGGGCTTAGGGTTGGGGGATTAGGGGACGCCTCTAGCCACCAAAGCTGCAGATGAGGGTTCTTTCGTTCATAAGTCCTTCTCTTTTCGCCTGCTGAGAGCTTAGACACTGAAGCCTTCCTGTAGGCCCAACCAACCCTATCAAATAGCAGGTCCTGACCCGGCAGCGACTGGGATCAGCCCTCAGAACAAGGCGAATAGATGCTAATAGAGATGGCGGCACACATTGACGCTACACCGTCGGGGAAGGAAGGCCGAGGGTGCTTACAAGGACCCTAAACCAAACCCCTCCGAAAGAAGGCAAAAGGGTCAAGGACCAAAGGCTTAGGGGTTAGCGTTGAAGGCTTGGGGGTGAGGCTGTGCCAGCAACAATACGGAAATTTTCTCCAGGATCCGTACCCAGAAGCCCCAAACCCTCAAGCCCAACTCTCAAACCCGAAACTCTAAAGCTTAAAGCTGAAACTACAAGCCCTGAACCATAAACCATACAGAACAACACAACACCCTGGGCCCACCTCTTCCGAATGATCTGCGTCACAGTGTGAGCGCGAAGTCCCTGCAAGGCTTCGTCCTCCGCGCTTTGTTTCCGAGGGCTGGCTTACGGGCTTGGGGTTTGGGGTTTAGGGTTTAGGGTTTAGGGGTTTAGGGTTTAGGGTTTAGGGTTTAGGGTTTAGGGTTTAGGGTTTAGGGTTTAGGGTTTAGGGTTGGCTGGCTTACGGGCTTAGGGCTTCTAGGGTCTAGGGTCTTACGGCATCTAGGGTTTGGGGTTTAGGGCTTAGGGTTAAGTCTCGGGATTATAGAATAATTTTGGAGACACAAGGGCTTGTCATTGCATCTTTTTGTGCATAGACTAGAGACCCCTTACGCGAAACCCTTGAGCAACCCCCAAAGGGAAGCCTGAACTGTCCGGAAGTGGCATGGAAACGACGTTCGCAAGGGTTTGCAAGGAGCCTCTTTCCTCTCATACGGGTGGTGTTCCTTTTAGGGTCCTTATTATTCGGGTGCCGTACTCTTTTGGGGGACCTTAAAAGGGACCGTAATTTAGAGAACTACTCATACTGGGGCCGAGTCACTCATGACAAACGGGGGTTTGAGTCGGCAATTGCTCCAAAAAGCCTACTGGCAGAGGAGCCTCAAAGTGTAACATAGGAGCCTCAAAACTAGAATAGGGCTTTCAGTGTAGGTTATAAACTATATAACCCTACTTGAAGGTTCATGGGTAGTTAAAGTGGGGTCATAAGTAGGGTAACTGTAATTCTAACCCATATTATTGGACTTATGACCCCACTTATAACTACCCATGGACCTCCAAGTAAACCCTGAACCCCAGCCAAGCAGCGCAGTAAGCCTTCCCACCCACGAAACCTCAGAAGGCCGACTCTCACAGGATGAAGGGGGGTTTCGGCTTGGGGGTTTCGGCACCGCAAGTACTGCTTACTACGGTTGATGATATAAATCCTGCATTACACATAATAAGGATTATTCCGTACTTCTCATAGTTTAGGGTCCTTAAGGTAGTGCAGGATTTATATCATCAACAGTAGGGTTTAGGCTTTAGCCATTGGCAGTTGGGTTCTGGCATGGTGGGTCTGTATGATCGCAGTCTTGCAGGCATGCACAGGTCTCAAACATCTCAGTGGACCCAAAACTGCAGACGATCGGCTCCGGTGTATTCGCAATAACTTAGGCCCCGATATTAGACACCTGTCGCCCCCGAATCCTAATCCGAAAACTCTGACTGACATCCTAAAGCTGAAACCCAAAACCCTAAACCTGAAACCCTAAACCCTAAGCCCTAAACCCGAAACCCTAAACCCTAAACCTGAAACCCTAAACCCTAAACCCTAAACCTGAACCCCTAAGCCCGCTTGAACTGAGGAGTCGGGGGGCCCGGTGCATTCTTCCGCACGTTGGACATGGCAGAGGCGAAATGGCATGCTTTCCTGGGATCCAAAGGCCCCTACCTGGACCCCCAAAGTAGCCCCTAGGGTAGTTGAAGGTTCAGGATTTCGGTATGGTTTGGGGGTTTATGGTTTAGGGTGTACCTGGACCCCCAAAGTATGTAGAATAATCGCCTTTTATGAGTTTTGGGCCATGATTTTACCTACTTTGGGGGGTTTAGGTAACCCCTAAACCCTCAACCCCCTAAAAATCCTAAACCCCAGACTCAGAACCCTAAACTTGGGACCTGATTAAGAAACCTTGGGTCTTTTTCTCGGGGCTCCCTTTTTGAACCTTAAAATTTCGGTGTTATAGGGTCAGGGTTTCTTAATCAGGTTCCTACATTACCCTGCACCCCAGTACATGTCATTTCGTTAACATTAAACTACAAAACCCCAAACCCTAAACCCTTAAAGGCAGGGTGTGCTCTTGCAAGTGAGGCCTCTGCCTTGCGGTGCAGGACGGTTGGTGGGTGCGATGTTGCGGCTTTTTGAAGGCTTCAGGCGGCTGAGGGTTGCTAAATACCTGTAGACCTACCTTTTTAGGGTTCCTGATTATGGTTTCTTTTTTTAGTTCCTTAAAAAGGTAAGTCTTTTCGGTTACAGGTAGCCCTAGTACTAGCTCTAGCCCGTCTTCTCGAAAGGGCATTGGCTGGGTTGGAATGTGTTTGCAGGCACAGACGTATCATATTGATTATCATGGGCAGTGATAACACCCCAACCCTTAAACCCTCTGACCTAAACCCTAAACCCTAAACCCAATGAAGCATGCACTACACTTGGACCTTGGCTTAGCCCAGAGTTCCCCGTTGCAGGGCGTCGAGTTTCAATCGTTTATTAAGGGCAAAGCCCCTTTGGACTCGACGGTTTAAGGTTTTAGGGTTTATAGGGTTTAGGGTTTAGGGTTTAAGGTTAGGGTTTAGGGTTTAGGGTTTAGGGCATGCGGATGAGTCAACTAAATGGATCATCGTTGTCTCTGCCTCATGCTTCCTTGTTTCGACTCGTACGTCTGACGCACGGTGGCAGTAGTCTCTTCAAATATCTTCGCTGCCCTGTCTCCGAAACACTACTCACTACTAGCTTACCCCAACTTCCTCTCACCAACAGCAAGCCTCGTAGAAGTCGTGCCCAAACTTTCACTTGTACCGACCCCTGTTAACGTGCCGTGGCGCAGCTGTGCGTAGTACGTAAAGCAGGCGCAATTCACCTTGTCCCGGCACTGCCTCGGTGTAGATTCAGGGCCCTAGGCTTCTTCCGGCGTCTTGCACACGCAAAGTCGTCGCGCTCAATCCCTAAACCCTAAACCATAGTCCTCCCTAGACTGAGACTCTAAACCCTAAATCCCAAACCATAAACCACGCCTAAGGGTATGAACTTCTGCGGGGCGACCTTACGAAACTCTCGAAGGAGCCCAAGCTTTGTAACATACGTAACTACAGGGCTCTCTCTGGGGGACTCTCGCCCGCTCGAGATATACGCAGATGTATGTATGTATGTATGTATGTATGTATGTATGTATGTACATATATATATATATAGAGAGAGAGAGAGAGAGAGAGAGAGAGAGCGAGAGAGAGAGAGAGAGAGAAAAAAACACAC